ACAGCTAGATGGTGCCCGGCTACCACCACTGACTGCTCTGATCGGGATCACAACAGAGGGTTCTGGACAGAGTTGGAGAAGGATGTAGAACAAAATTCTAACACACACAAAAAAGACCAGATTTACTGGCCTAAAGGAGACTGGAGAAACCCTGAGAGTACGGCCCCCAGACAACCTTTTAGCTTAGTGGTGAAGTCACTTCCCAGGTTCACCATTCAGCCGGGGATTGGACAGCCCAATAAAACAAAACAGACTAATAAGGCACAGCAGTCCAGGGACAAGGGCTAGAAGACAGAAGGGGACAGGAAAGCTGCTGATTGGGAACCCGAGGTTGAGTAAGGACAGTGTTGATGTGTTGTGAGGTTGTTAACCATTGTCATAGGCCAACATGTGTACTAACTGTTTAATGAGAAACTATTTTGTGCTGTAAACCTTCATCTAAAGTGAGAATAGCAGAAGAATTGGAAGAGCGTAGTTGATGTCACTGAACCGTGCGTGTAGAAATTTGTAAAATGGTGTATCTTTAGTTACGTATATTTTCACCAAAAAAAAAAAGGTCAAGAAGGGAGAGGGTTGACGTGTCATGGGGTTGTTGACCAATTCCATAAAACAATATGTGTACTACTGTTTAATGAGAAAATATTTGTTCTGTAAACCTTCACCTGAAGTACAATAAAAAATAATAAAAAAAATAAATAAATAAATAAATAAATAAATAAATAGTTGCTAAAAAAATAGCAGCCACAGAAGAATCTCAGTGAGAGCTGTGGTTAAAAATAAACCAAAAAACTAAACCCACTGCCATCAAGTCAATTCCAACTCATGTGACCCTATAGGACAGAGTAGAACTGCCCCATAGGGTTTCCAAGAAGCAGGTGGTGGATTCGAACTGCTGACCTTCAGTTAGCAGCTGAGCTCTTAACCACTGCGCCACCAGGGCTCCATGGTTAAGGATAGGCACGACGTATTCAAATTCTTGGGACAATGCCAGAAGCCTAAGCAAAGGTTCTCATACCCATAAAGCTGGTGACAGACAGTGGTTTTCAGAGCATCTCCTGTGAATGTTCAGGATCCCCTCGGGCACTTTTCTCCCCGTTTCCACTTTCCAGAGAATTCAGTACCTCGTTCTATCTGTATAACTCCTGCACTCATCAACAAGAGCTGAACATTCCAGATTTACTCTGCACACCTCTGTTAGTCTATTTCACCTCTGCCACCCTACCAATAGACTCCCTGGGGGGCACAGTTAAGCACTTGAATACTGGTCGAATGGTTGGGGTTCGAATCCACCCAGAGGTGGCTCAGAAGAAAGGCCTGGTGATCTGCTTCTGGACAGTCATAGCCTTGAACACCCTATGGAGCAGTTCTATTCTGCATACATGGAGTTGCCATGAGTCTAACCGACTTGACAGCAATCAGCTACAACAACAACCCTACCAACACTGGGAAGCGTCACTTATTTTGAAGCCAATGATAATATTTATCATTGAAAAGGGAAAGGATGAACAGGAATGGACATTTAGTACAGAGCAGCCACTAGATCTGTGTGGATGTGTGTGTATGCTACTTCATTTAACACTATACCAGCAGACAACTAAACCAAGGCTACAAAAAAACGAGCTGCTTATGGCACACGGCAGGTCAGCACCCCAGCCCAGCCCTCAGCCCCGCAGCCATCCTCTCTCCCCACAGCACACCCTCCCTACCGGGCCCCAGCCCAGCACATGGCCCCTCTTTACCAGTGGAGTCGCAGGGCGTGCAGGAAAGCAGAGAGGCCCTCCATGATGAGGAGGATGGCGACCGTCAGGACAGCAAATATGGCAAAAATGATGAAGACCCCAATGAGTCCTCCCCAGCCTCGCTGGCGAAGACCAATGTTCATCACCATGGTCCAGAGCACTTCAGAGAGTTCTGCAAGAGGCCAGAGGAACGTTCTCAATGGCAGGGTTCATCTGGTAAACAGAGCACTGTGTGTACAGGGTCTGGAGGTGGGATGAAGAATGCTGGGATGGGGAGATCACTGGGGGTATCCGGGGGGCCATGCAATCGCAGGGGTCTTATAACGGGAGGGGGTCAGAGGAGGAGGTGTGAGGGGGACACTGAGTTTGGAGTGGTACGGGTCTGTGAGTGAAGGACGTACGGAGACCTCTGGAAGCTGGGACAGGCAAGGACACACAAACTAAGAGTATATATGTGTGTTCCTGTAAGCCACTAAGTTTGTGGTCATTTGTTACGGCAGCCATCCCCCTTAAACCTAAACCCATGGCCACTGAGTCTATTCCAACTCATAGTGACCCTACAGGACAGAGCAGAACTGCCCCATAGAGTTTCTAAGGAGCAGCTGGTGGATCTGAACTGCCAACCTTTTGGTTAGCAGCCAAGCTCTTAACCACTGAGCCACCAGGGCTCCTACGGCAGTCACAGAAACCTAAAACAAGGACAATCATTCCACCAACATAAAGCCAGACCTACTGGGCAAAGGCACTTCTTCCTAAGAAAAAAAGCTTGCCAGCAACAAGCCAGAGAAGGCAGCTTCCCCCTACAGAGGCACTGCCTGAGTTTCCCATGAAGACCTGACCATGACCCCGCAGGCCCCCGACTCACGGGCGTGGGCCAGGCTCAGGGCCCAGAGGCGCAGGTAGGAGGCCGTGTTGGAGATGCAGCCCAGGCAGTACTCGATGGTGTGGATGGCCTGGTGGACAAAGATGTCTCCAAAGTTGAACTGGAAGAGAGAATTTTGTTAATTCAGTACTTTCTACCCCAAAGGCATCACAGACCGTACACAGATGCACTTACGGCCTAACTAAAAACACAAACTCAAACCCATTGCCAGGAATTCCATTTCAACTCACAGCGACCCTATAGGACGGAGCAGAACTGCCCCATAGGGTTTCCAAGGCTGTAAATCTTCATGGAAACAGACTGCCACATCTTTCTCTCGAGGAGCAGCTAGTGGGTTTGAACCACCGACTTTTCAGTTAGCAACCGAGCGCTTAACCATTGCACCACCAGGGCTCCTTACAGTCTAACTAGAGGGAAATAAATGTTAATGATGTTGTTGTTAGTTGCTGTCGAGCCAATTCCGACTCTTGGCGACCCCACAGGTGCAAAGCAGAACTGTGCTCGGTAGGGTTTTGTTCATTTTCCTTGGGAAACATCTTTATTTGGAAATAAGAAAAAAGAAACAGATGAGGAAACAGAAAAGATCAAAGAAGCAAGAGGAGTCACATGGCCACAGGGTCACTGGAGCCAAGGGTGGACAAATATCAAGGAAGGAATGGGGGTGGAGAAAAGACAAAATCATCACCTCGCGATTCAGCAAAGAAAACCACTGTGAAGAACTAAAGGGGTGGGGAGGGCAGAGATGGATCGAGTAGGTTGATAATGCCAAGGCCACAGAAGAGGAGGGAGGGAGAGGAAACTGAGGGGAAGCAGGGTCAAGCCTACTTTTCTGTCAAGATGGAGACCCATGGAGCCCTGGTGGTGCAGTGGTTTAAGAGCTCAGGCTGCTAACCCAAAGGTCGGCAGTTCAAATCGACTACCTGTTCCTTGGAAACCCTATAGGGCTGTTCTACTCTGTCCCGTAGGGTTGCTATGAGTTGGAGTCAACTCATCGGCAATGGGTTTGGTTTGGTTTTGGTCTGGAGACCCATGCAGTTTTGTATGGAATGAAGGAGTCTACGAATGGAGACTGAAGGTGCCCCAACAAGAGCAGCCAACTATGGCAGAGGTAGGAGGGAAGGACGGGGTGGAGATGGACTGGATAAATACTGAGGGCATGAGGGGAACCAGTGAGGGAGGTTGTACTGGACAGGCCGGGACTGATCCGTCAGAAGATGTAAAGGAAGGAAGACTGGTAGGTATTGCATTCTAAAATATGGCAGCAGGTCTGACAGACTTGGTTATTAGCCGCTAATGTGGGTTACTCTTGTCACCCTTGAAAGCCTGTTGGAAAAATCTTCCATGATCTAGATTTTTCACTAATTCGAACTTACCATTCATTAGCTCAAGTGAATTAATTTTTGTCGTAATTAACACCATAAATGGAGCTACTTATGGTGTCAGTCTGGCACTCAGGGGAGCCCAGTCCCTACTCCAGAACTGGAGTAGACTCCAATTAAAACCTCCAGCTGGGGGTGCAGGATTGGGGGTGAACTCAATCATCCCATGAAAACAGCCAGTTGCCTTCACCTAGGAAAATGTGGCACGCATTCCTGGGGGAGGGTGGCTGCCCTTGGACAGACAGGGGCAGAGGGAGGCGAGGGAAGAGAACAATCTGTGCATTCACATGTGAGGCAACAACACTCCAAAGATGAGATAAGTGAGCAAAGTTGGGGAAGAGCCAGTGTTGAGGTTGGAGAACAAAGAAGAGGCTTTAGCAGCTCTGCAAGCTTACATGGGGAGGAGGCTGGGAATAAATAACCCACATTTTGCTTCAATATCTGTGGTTATACCTGGGTTCTGCTCTCATTGTTTGAGGGGAAATATCACAATAAAAGTAATAGACTCCCAGAGTACCAATCTGAGCGTGGAGGCTTCAGTAACACTGGGACCTTGTGCGTCCCTGGATTGAGGCTGATGTTCAGCCCACACTCACCTACACAGCAGCACCTGGGCTAAATATTAAAACACTCCCATGTCGTTGTTAGCTGCCATTGAGTCGGCCCTCAACTCATGGCAACCCTATGCCCAACAGGACAAACCTACCGTGGTCCTTCACTATCCCCATGATTGGTTGGAGGCTGGACTATGATCCATAGGGCTTTTGTTGGCTGATTTTTGGAAGCAGATTGCAGGGCCTAGTCTGTCTTAGTCTGGAAGCTCTGCTGGCACCTGTCCAGCATCACAGCAACATGCAAGCCTCCACTGACAGATGGCTGCGCTTGAGGTGCATTGGCCGGGAATGGAACCTGGGTCTCCAGCATGGAAGGCGAGAATTCTATCACTGAGCGACCACTGCCCTCCAAGTTCTCCCACAGAGGTTGGTGAAGAGCTATTGCTCTGACCAGCTCAGATGTTCCCCGACCTCTCGCAATTCAGCAATCACAGGGCTGTTGCCCAGCAGGGCCCTCCAGACCGTTCCTGCTCTACTGCCCACGCTTGCCCATACCCTACTGGTTGTCTGATATTTTGACTATTATCCCAATTAAATCCTGCTTCTAGAATCTGTACAAACTGAGAAGTCTTCCTCAGGTGTCCAGTCCCAGATACCTCTTCCTCATGGTCGTCCTGGGCTCCCTGGTCTCCTGCAGAAGCCTTCTGATTAGAACTGATGGAGAGGTTTGAGTTGCCACCTTCAATGCTCTCTGTGGAGTCTCCTTGGACCATGGATGCCTGCAGCTGTCACCAAGTGGAAGAAATGAAGAGAGTGCTCAGTTCACCCTTAAAATGACCACAGTTCTTTATAATATGAAATAAAAGCTGTTACTGATTATTAGCTACATGCCAGCCACTGTTTGGAACTCTGTATGGGTTATCTCATTTAGCCTTCATGCTAATCCTTGAACGTAAGCACCATTATCATCCCATTTTACAGCAAAGTAAACTGCAGTCCAGAAAGGTTGAGAAATGTGCCCAGGATAAGTAGAAAACTTTTCTAATATGAAAAGAACCACCAGGATCCTAATAAGAAGCCTAAGAAACAAAGCCCAAGGAGACAGGCCCCCAAGCAGTCTTTGGGAGCTCCTGTGACCCAGCCAGGTTAAGAGGTATCATCTGAGGCGATAGACTAAGAAAATCTCTCTGCCTCCTTCCCCAGAGCACAAGTCATCCAGAGGGGAGAAGAGGGGAAATCAGCCACTTTGAGATCAGCAACTGTTTCAAGAACTCTTGAAACAGCAAGAAAGCTGTTATTTTAGAGTTCTGGGACTCAGATGAGCCAGCAGTCACCTAGCCCTCACCTTTGGGCAGGCTGAGTTCCTACAAAGGAGAATTGCACCGATTTCTACAAACAAGTATTTGCTACCTTCCTTTGAAACACCTGGTCACCCATTTGGACAATGCTCCACCTCAACACTCCTTTACCACTTTGGCCTCTCACCAGTGAACTAAAAAAGAAGTAAGTATTCTTTGCTTGGACTACCTATCTATTTATATCCCACTTAAATCATATATCAGATAGGCTTTAGAATAGTCGAGACTGGCTGGAAATGAAGATAGTGGGAGGAGAGGCAGTGAAACTAGAAAGAGGGCGCCACCTAGGGATAGACCTCCAGAACTTCAGTCTGACCATGTCTGGGTCCTGCCCCTACCATCTTGCAGGTCAATATCCAACAAAGATTTTAGAAAAATAGGATTTAATCTGCAAATATCTACAACCATCTAAGACCCATGTGATCTCAGCACATTCCACGTAATCTTTTGCGATCGTGGAGGGAAGCAGAGATGGTCATCCCAAATGGTGTCTGTGTGTCATTTCTAGATTCCCGATACACCCTGGAAGGCTGTTGTGCCATGGAGTCAATTCTGACTCATAGTGACCCTATAGGACAGAGTACAACTGCCCTATGGGGTTTCCAAGCCTGTGGTCCTTATGGAAGCAGATTGCCACATCTTTCTCCCATGGAGCCCTCGGTGGCTTAGAACCACTGACCTTCCAGTTAGCAGCCAAGCATTTAACCACTGCACCACCAGGGCTCCTCCTGGAAGGTGAACCTTCCTAAATTCTATCTGATTTAAGCTGACGTTAAAGCTTTTCTTTCCTCCCTGAGTAAATAAGAGGCTCAGGAGAAGTTTAACCAAAAGGAGGAAGTGCGCTGAAATTGGTATTTGGCGATAATGAAAAATCACAGCTAAATAAGAACTGATGATGTTGAATCTGCTCACTACTTGAGTTCTTGCACACTGTCTGTGACATCACACAGTAAGATCTCCCAGCCTTAGCACACTGATGCAAAACAGCTTTCCGTGGTCATTAAAAAACTGAAACTTTAGTAAGATACGCTTCTTGTCAACTAATAAAATGATTTCAGATCCCAAACCACTGTTGTTGTTGTGTGCTGCTGAGTCAATTTCAACTCACAGCAACCTCACGGAACAGAGTAGAACTGCCCCATAGAGCTTCTGGGAGCAGATTGTCAGGTCTTTTCTCTCACGGAGCCGCTGGTGGGTTTGAACCACTGACCTTTCAGTGAGCAGCCCAGCACTTAACCACTGCACCACTAGGGCTCCTAAAAACAAAACAAAACCAATAGAAAGTTCTATTTATCTTTATTTTGTGATGTTGAAAAGCTGCTGTTCGAAACCTGATTGATTTAAGAAAGAAGGATATTTTGTTCTCCTTTGATAGTTTATAGAAACTGAACCAAAGTTTTCTTGTGTTTGCCTGAACAACGGTGAAAATCATAGAGGATTTCTTTGGTATGTGCTACAGATTTGAAAACTGCTCCCAAGCCTACGTACTTCATATTGTATTCAACGTTCCTGGTAACTATTGTACAAATCCATATGAAATGCACCACATTCTTGTGAAATAAAAGATCACTATACCAAAAACAAAAAACCATTAAATACCACTAGAATCAGCGCGCACACGCACACACCACCCTTCGAGTACGGTTTGCAAGGCACAACGGTTAAGTGCGCTTGTCCACAATAAAGCATTGTTGTTGTTAGCTGCTATCAAGTTAGTCCCCGACCCATGGTGACCGTAGGCACAACAGAACAAAATGCTGCCTGTACCATCCCCGTGATCAGTTACAGATCAGACCCTGGTGATCACAGGGTTGTCATTGGCTAGAAGTAGATTGCCAGGCCTTCCTTCTTATTCCGTCGTAGTCTGGGAGTTCCTCTGAAACCTGTTGAGCATCACAGCAACGAGGCCTCCACTGACAGATAGGTGGTGGCTGCGCATGAAGTGCATTGGCCGGGAATTGAACCTGGGTCTCCTATATGGAAGGTGAGAATTCTAATGGAGCGTTAGGTGGAAATAAGAAGGCCTGGCGGAAGAGTTGAGCTCTACAGAAGGAAGCAAGCTTGGGGCGGATTAGTTGTTCAGCACCTTCTCGTCCTCCTTCAGGCCCAGCTTCCTCTCTAAACCCCAGACTTCTGTTTCCAACCAACCCACCTTCCTACCCGCAGTGAGGGAATAGAAAGCAACGGTCCTTACCTGGGCTTTCCGATGGTTAGCTCTCAGAATGAACGGCTTAATCAGAAGCATCCAGGGCACAGAAATCAGGGCCATAACCACAAAGAAACTCTGGACAACTCGCTGCAAGAGCAAAACGGTAAGAGGCTATCATCTTAGCGTGACATGATAAGAATGATTAATACGGGTCATTTCAGTAGCACCTTGTCCAGAAAGAATCTCCACAACCCCGTTCGCCTTCACATCTGGAAGATTCCAGTCTTGCAGTGCCCAGTGTCCAATATAAGGGGGACACTGGAAGCTTGCTTTCCTTATCCCTTACTCTCTCAACAAGCCCCTGTTATAGGATCACACCGTATGCAGTCAGCCCTTTGAACAGGAAGAACTCATGAGACACATCATAAAGGCAACTTTATTTTTCCTTGTTCCTGTAAATCTGTTTCACGGACAGTTTCCCCTGGTCCTGACAGGCCCCATGACCCCAGTGGTCACTGTCTAGCAATCGAAAGTCCCCGGGTCACTTTAAGTCACAGACATTGTCTCAGTCAGTAATTTTATGTATCCAGCATAAGATAACCACATACCCTCTCTCGTTCTCTCTCTTAAGAAAGAGCTGCTCACGGTCTTCACCTGACTTTCATACCCTCCACGCAGGCCAGTTATCTGGTAGGTTCTGGGATGCCCACTCTGAACGTGAACTCGCTCTCTCACAACAGGAGGCCCCTTTTACCTCTTGTTACATATTTCCTTTCACATTCTCGAGCCCCCCACCTCTTTCTGTATACACTCCTAGTTACCAGTTTAAGGAGCCCTGGTAGTGCAGTGGTTAAGTGCTCTGCTGCTAACCGAAAGGTTGGCAGTTCGAATCCACCAGATGCTCCCATAAAGATTACAGCCTTGGAAACGTTATGGGGCAATTCAACTCTGTCCTACAGGGTCATCTGAGTCGGAATTGACACCACGGCATAGTTACCAGTTTGGAGGGGTTACCCGGAGCTGCTATTGTCAAAAGAACAAGGAAGCCTCCGAGGGCTTGGTCAGAGCTATTAAAAGGAGTGGAAACTGGGTACCAGATCCAACTGTTCTGACCCAGCTCAGAGTGAACGCCGGGAGAAACGATTTATGACCCTGCTTGTAATGAGATTTACTGTGATAAATGTGGGAACACTTTATCTGCTCCGTCTTCTGCATTCGCTTGCTTTTAAATGCTTGAAAGAAGGAGCGGAAACCACATGAACACACCCAGGACTTGCTGACTCCGGTTGCCCCACTCCTTCATTGCCGTTTGTCTATTTTCCTACAGCAACGCTTCTTTCCCTCCTGATGGACAAGCAACCCGAGACTGACGGTGTATCTGTAGTTCTCCTTCTGCAAACGCAGCCTGGGAAAGGGCTTTATTTCCTAACTTACATGGTCTCTCCCAGCGGTACCACAAAATGCCGTGAGGGAAACTTGGAGCTGTGTTAAGATAATTAAACTTCACACAAGGGAGTGGGGAACTCGACCAATTCTGGTGAATGTTTCTGAGTGGAAAGAATTCAGAAAGTATTTACTGTGCAATGGCTACCCGTCCAGATCCTAGATGAACTGAGGACTTGAATCTTAAGGTGAGCAATTCACGCATGAAAATATTTGGTGGGCCCTTTGTCTAAGAGAGAATACTCGTTTGGGAGATCCAAATAACTTTCACTCGCGCGTTGAGTAATAATAATAATAAACAGTTGTCGTCCGGTCAATTCTGACTCAAGGACCCCATGTGTGTCGGAGTAGAACTGTGCCCCCTAGGGTTTTCAATGGCTGGTTTTTCTGAAGTAGATCATCAGGCCTTTCTTCCAAGGTGCTCTAGGTGGACTTGAACCTCCAAACTTTTGGTTAGCAGCCAAGTGCATTTACCATTTGCACCACCCAGGAGTTCCACTGAATGACTACGTCTTCTAAATACATTCATTTAATGCTGTCTATGGATGAGCAAGGTTACCATCTATGTCTGACTGAACCCATATCCATTGCCGTTGAGTCCATTCCAACTCATAGCGACCTTATAGGACAAGGTAGAACTGCCACACAGGGTTTCCAAGGCTGTCGTCTTTATGGAAGCAGACTGACACATCTTTCTCCCACAGAGTGGCTAGTGGGTTCAAAATGCCGACCTTTTGGTTAGCAGCTGAGTGCTTAACCACTGCGTCCACCAGGAAAAGGGTCACTGAAGTCATAAGGTGGGAAACGACAGAAGAAGCTTTCAGGGTATATTCCTTCTCTGACCACTAGCTAAAAGTCATTCCCTATGTAACTTATCACGGGGCATTTTTTTTCCTAATTCTTTGATGCGTCTTAGGGGAGGCGAACCCAAATAAGAGTCAAACCCCCGAGAATGTGCACAGCTATAGGAGAAGCGTGGCTGCAGGTAACACCTGGCAGGTACCATCTGCCCTGAAGATCACCCGGCATCATGCAGCCGGCCCTGCAACTTGATCCAGAGGAACCAAAACCTGTGGAAGTGGGCCCTCCTTTACTGAAAACCTGCCTCCAACAGTATTATCATGTTAGTCACTGCGAGGGGCCAGCAGAAAAGAACGCTTTGTGTTACCAAAGAATTGCTCACAGGTTATTTTTGAATCCAGCACCAGTGGGACCCACCCACCAAACCCACTGCCACTGAGTGCATTCCACCTCACAGTGACCCAAAGGACAGAGTAGAACTGCCCCAAAGGGTTTCCAAGGCTGTAATCTTTACAGAAGCAGAATAGTCCCATTTACAGTTTCATAAATTGTTTATAAGTTTTAACAATTTTGGTGCTTATAAATGCACACACCAAACCAAAACCAAAATCTGTTGCCGTTGAGTCAATTCCGACTCATAGCAACCCTATAAGACAGAGTAGAACTGCCCCACAGGGTCTCCAAGGCTGTAATCTTTACGGAAGCAGATTGCACATCCATCTCCCTCAATGGGACACTTATACTAAATAAGATATTAACTTGATAATGAGTCTGAAATAAATGGAAGAAATCATAATGGCCACACAATCCAAATGTTGGTATCTACTGTCCATGAAAGAAGAGTAAAGGCATCTGCAGCTAGTCCCAGGAGCTCACTGGAAAGCAGGCGTTCACTCCGTGGTTTTCTAGGCACCCACTTCTCTTCTTGATTCTGTTTTCATTTTTCTTTCTTATGAATATTAAGTAGAGTGTATTTTTAGAATAAAAGACTACTACATTTTAGGTGCTATTTAGAACACCTAAATGCTATTTTGCATTAAGAATAAAATGGTAAAAAAAAAAAAAAATGTTATTTAACTATTCAAAGCACCTAAAATGCTATTTAGCTGCTCTGTAGAGCACCTCCACTGTTTACAGTCCCTGCGTGGTGCAAACACTTAACATGCTTGACAGCTAACCACAAGTTTGAAGGTTCAAGTCCACCCAGAGGTGCCTCAGAAGAAAGTCCTGGAGATCTACTTCCAAAAAATCAGCCATTGAAAACCCTACGGAGCACAGTTCTACTCCGACACACATGGAGTCACCATGAGTTGTTATCGACTCAACAGCAATGGGTCATTTAGAACATTTACAGCTTCAAGCCAAATCAACTGCAAGCTTTCTTTTTTTTTTCAGCTCAGCCAATGTACAAGCCAATTTTCACCACGAGCCCCACAGCAATAACCCCTTGCGTGTGCCACACCACAGCGCCGTCCTCAACCCTTGTGTGTTCATTTGGGAAGACCCTCTTTAATTTGAAACTGAAGACCCTTGGCTGGGTGCTAAAATGGCTCTGTCTTTCGGATAACTCCCCTTGGCGGACTCGAGAGCATGGGCAAGCTCTGCCATGATCAAGTGGGTGAAAGAAAGAAGAGAACCAGCCATACCTGATGTTTGTACAGGGGCCCGTTGGAAGGGTCGTCATAGTTGAACAAAAACATGTTGATGAAGTGGATGAGGATGCTTGGGGCGTGTTGGGACGTGTGGACATCAAACTGGCACCATTTGTAAATGATCATGAAAACCAGGTATCCAAACAGACACAGGATAAAAATCATCTCGGGGATAAACTGCAGAATGATGTTGAGCACTTTTCTGAAGTATCTGGGGGTGGAAAACACACACACAACAAACAGTTCACTAAAGGAAGCATTCAAACCCAGTCGCTGGGGAGTCAACTCCGACTCATCACAACCTGGTGTGTGTCAGAGTAGACCTGTGCTCCACACGGTTTTCAATGGCTGATTTTTCAGAAGTAGATTGGTAGGCCTTTCTTCCAAGGCACCTCTGGGTGGACTCAAACCAACAACTTTTCACTTAGCAGCTGAGTATGTTAATACGTTTGCTCTACCCAGGGACTCCAAGGGAATGTTGGAAAAAAAAAAAAACTAAACCCATGGTCATCAAGTCCATTTCAACTCATAGCGACCCTATAGTACAGAGTGGAACTGCCCAATAGGGTTTCCAAGGAGCAGCTGGTGGCTTCGAACTGCTGACCTTTTGGTTAGCAGCTGAACGGTTAACCACTGTGCCGCCAGGGCTCCAAGAACGTTAGCAAATAATTATTCTCCGCAAAGCAAAACTGTTTAATTTTTGAACACTGTGTCCACTCCCCTGCAAGCAGCAAGCATACATGGAGGGAAAAGAAGAGAAAGGGAAGTTCTTCACACAGAAGCTCCAGAGAGAACCAGAGTTTAGAAGGGAAAGTCTGAAGCAAAGATCATGACCACAGAAGGATTGGTAATTTGGCTTTATATGCAGAACTAGCTCACATGAACTCATCTGAAGGCAAAAGGTTAATAATGGGACTTGAAAGCTTTTCTCCTAAGAGTGCTCCAAGACAGGGGCCAGCAAACTGCGGCCCGCAGGCCAGATCGAGCACATCATTTGTTTTATATGGCCTGCCAGCTGAGAATGGTTTTTACATTTTTAAAGGGTTGAAGAATAAAATTTTGTGACATGTGGAAGTTGTATGGGGGAAAGGAGGGGAGGAGGACTTGGAGTTTCAGGGACACTGTGCTTTTGTTAAGGGTGACGAAAATTTTGGAACTGGATAAGGGTTACGGTTGAACAACATGCTGAATGTAATCAATGTCACTGAATTGTACAGGTGAAAATTATTGAAATGGAAAATGTTTCGTTATGTATATATTTTCCACAATTTTTAAAAATGAATAAAAAAAAGTTTTTACTTCAGCTGTGGCAACTGGCACTGTTCCAAGCAGTGGTTGCCCACAGCCTAGGTCCTGGGTAAGGGAGACAGGAGCAGAGCTCCAGTGGGTCAATATTGGACATGTATCACCACTGTGATTGGGGCTGTTTGTTACTGCATAATAACCTAACCCATTCTGACTACTTCATTCCCATTTTACAGAAGAAGACAAGCGTGAAGATGTATGAGTTGGAACTGGGGCTTGAACTTCTGGCTCGAAACCCTGTATCACTCCTGTGGCACCACGTTGCCCCATCCACTCATAACCAGCATGTTGGGTGGGATTTCAGCCACCTTGTTCACAAAAGGTGCCTCCAAATAGGCACATTTGGAGTTGTTTTCAAACATGTATACCTTTGGCATAAGTGAGTTGTAGAGCCTCTTCAGTGATGGATGTTGATAGAAGGAAGGGAAGGAGTAGATGTGACACCATCAGCAACCAAAGAACTGAGAGAGAGGTGCTGCCAGTTGGAAGAAATGACACTAAATGGGATTCAGAAAACAAGGCACCTTGGCAAGAATTCACCATGCTCACATTTGCCCACCGGTGGAAGGATACAGCCTAAGCCTACAAATATTCCTGGGTTGAGGGGTGCATTCACCTTTGAGGAACTCAGCTTAGAAGAAGTAGAATTGGTGTTTCCAGCAAACCTGCGTGTCCTGGCTCAAACCGAGACCCTAGGGAAGCCCTCTCCGTGGGGGAACTCTTACTCTTGCGCTGAGAGATGTCGGTCCACACGGTGGCTCTGTGAATACTCATCCTTGATTTGACCAAACACAAAGAAAGGGACTCGTGAAACTTACATGTGATTGAAGAGGCTGAGAATAACCCCGAAAACCATCTGGACAATTCCCAGGATGACGGACATCTTCATTTTATAGGAGTTCAAGAATGTTAGCTTGTTCGAAGCAAAGTTCCAAATCTGGATGAAAAACACGACAACACCCACATGAGATCCGAGTCCAGAAATTCTACTGGAGTTGAGGCCACAGCATTAGTCCAGCTCAACCTGCCGTGTAGGCTCTGCAAGGGAAAGGGACCAAGCCCCGATCTGGGCACTTTATGAATTTTCACCAAAAAGTTCAGTGAACGAACAGTCATTCCTGAAGGAGCAGGGGCCATTCCTATTCAAGGAAAATACCAAGGAACTGGAAGAAAACTGGGGAAAAAAATCCTACATGGTTTTTTTCCTGTCCTAAACGAAAGGACATTTTGAAATGGTACGGGCTTACCTGCGTGCCTTGCCACGACTACCTTGCAATAAACTTAATGAGTTTATGCATGACAAACCTGAGTATTTCTTTACTTATTCTTAAGATAAAATCCTACAGGACACACGCGCGCGCGCACACGCACACACAGACACACACACTTACGCACATGGTCAGGAACTACGCCCCACTGGTTGATTCTTTCTTTACAAAGTCCTGAGCTGCTGCCAGCTGGACAACCACCAAGGAGGTTGTTGGGGAGGTGGCGGAGGGGCCAGTAAGAGCTGCCAAAACACCAGAAGGTTCCTCTACCTACCCCACCTGCCTTGACATCTGTTATGGGTTGATTTGTATCCCCCCAAAAGATATATCCAAGTCCTAACCCCTGGCACCTGTGAACATGACCTTGTTTGAAGGTGTAATTAGTTAAGATGAGGTCACACTGGGGTAGGCTGGGCTCTAATCCAATATGGCCGGTGTTCTTATAAGAAGAGAAGACACACAGAGATAGAGAGATACAGAGGGAAGTCGGCCACGTGAAGATGGAGGTGGACATAGAATTATGCTGCAGCTACAAGTCAAGGAACATGTGGGGCTCCCAGCAGCTGGGAGAGATAAGGAAGGACGGCCTTCCTGACACCTTGATTCTGGACTCAGTCCCCAAGAACTGTGGGAGAACAGAGTTCTGCTGTTTAAAGCACCCAGTGTGTGGTCCTTTGTTACGGTAGCCCTAGAAGACAAATACAGCATCTAAGCTGCACCAGACTTGCCCTCTCCCCTGCTTCTCCCGTGGCCCACCTGGTTATGGAAGCTCAGTGCGCTGAGGGCACTTTGTTGTTGTTGTGTGCGGCCAAGCTGGTTCTGACTCATAGCAACCCCAGGCGTTATAGAGTAGAACTGCCCCATAGGGCTTCCTAGGCTGTAATCTTTACAGAAGCAGATTGCCATGTCTTTTCTTCCGCAGTGTTGCTGGTGGGTTTGAACCACTGACGTTTTGGTTAGCAGCTGAGAACCACTGCACCACCATAGCACCTTAACCAGCACTTCTTAAAAAACCCATTGCTGAGGACTTAACCACTGTACCACCGGGCCCCCTGCCAGCACATTAGACACAGCCAGATCCAATGAACTAAAGGTGTTATAAATGTGAAGTGTCAGGCCCATCCTAAGCTCTTTAAATGTATTGATCTCAATTAATTCTAACAAAACCTCTATGAAATAGATATGATTGTGCCCATTTTACTTACCTACCCTTATCTTAATCTCAGAGAGATTTACACAACCGGGAAGAAATAATGGCAATTGAAATTCACAGAGCGTCCCCCATGCTTACGCACCAGATTCTGTTCTCAGTGTTTCACATGTAAGAATCATTCCGTATTCTGAGCAACCCTATGAGTTAGGGCTGTGATTATGCCCATTTTACAGATGAGGAAACAGGCACAGAGAAGGTGGCTTGCTCAAAATCACATAGTTAGTAAACAGAAAACCCGAGGTTAAACACAGGCATTCCAACTCCTGAGCCTGGCTCTTAAAACATTTTGTTAGGGTCAGTCAAGTAAAAAATATTCTTTAAAAAAAGTAGATTAGGCACAGAAGCAAGCACAAATGGGGAAAGACTGATGCCATGTGGAAATCGCTAGGGAACCGAGGAAGACATGTTGAATGAAACAAGGATCTCCCCCTAGATTTGACAGACGGAAAGCCTTTCCCTAGAGCCGGTGCCCTGAATTCAGATTTCCAGCCTCCTAAATTGTGAGAAAATAAATTCCTATCCTTTAAAGCCAAAAAAAAAAAAGAAGAAGAAGAATATTAATAGAATTTTGTCAGTATTGAGGGAATCCCTAGATGGATTCTGCAGTCCTTCATATTCTACCTTGACTCTTAAACACTGTATCAACTTGGATGAAGACATGTAAAGCATCTCATAAAATCTGCAGAGAATAAAAACTTGAGAAAGTTTAATAAATCAAAAATATTTCAAAACTTTAAAATAATAGGTCAAAACTAACCAAATGCAATGTTAGTAGAAATCAATATGAAGTACTACACTAAGGATAAAGGACAATGGTTTGAAGTTCAGAGTGGGACAGATCTGGCAACAGCGATCATGCGGGGTTGGAATCTGTTTTTGTTAACGGCAACCTTGATATACGCCAACTTTGTAACAAGGCACTAACATATCTGATGCAATCTTAAGCAGAATTGACAGAATTATTGTATCCAGAACAAGAGTGTCAGTAGTACAACTACTGGATCTAATTACATCTAGATTATTCTATTCAGCTCTGGATTCTCTAATTAAGGGACACGTTGAGAAACACCCAAGGAGAGTGGAACATGGAAGGGTCTGGAAACCATGTCATGAAGAATAACTGAAGGAATCTAGAGAGAAAACAAGAACCAACCCAGAAAAGGCTTTCATGAGAACAAGAACTTAGACTGACTGGCAGAGTCTTTAGAGGTCAGGACAATGGAAACAAGTTACTAAGAAGCAATGCTGGGTACACTTTGTAGAGGAGTCAGTAGTAATTACTGCTATCCCACAAAAGACAAGCTGCTTTTTGAAGCAGTGAACTAGACAAGTATCCGCCAAAGATGTGTGGACCATATTCCTGCAGTGGGGAGGAGGTGGGGTTTAACGACCTAGTTATCTTTTCTAATACTCTATATTCTATTAGTTCATTCCTCTTTAATATTTTCATATATTCACATATAAAGGAAGGCTTCTTCAGCCAAGGAGCCCTGGTGGCACAGTGGTTAAGAGCTTGGCTGCTAACCAAACGGTATGCGGTTCAAATCCACCAGCCGCTCCTTAGAAATCCTATGAGGCAATTCTACTCGGTCCTATAGGGTTGCTATGAGCCAGAATTGACTCTACTGCAACAGGGTTTGTTCAGCCACATTGAATAAAGGAGCCAGCCCACGTCCTTTTCCGCCAACACATTTAGAGCTTAAAAAATAACACTGGCTTGGACAAGATGTTTGGCAAATTGTTTCATTCTAAAGATCTCAAATTTAATTTCTCTGGAAAATCGATGTAATAATACCCATCCATGGCCTACTTACTGAGAAAGGAAAGAATGCAAGGGACCTAAGTGTAATCAATTTTTGCCTGAACATGTGTCTGCAAGAAACTTCATAACCAAAAAAAAAGTATAAAATATTCAGAAACCACCTTCAGAGGTCCCCACTATAGTCCAAATATTTTAGCAGGAGTCATAATTAGATGCTGAACTTTAAGTCAACAAATCACACTGTAAAAATTTACATTATGTAAAAATTAAACATCTCATTCATACATAATGTGAATGCTAATATATACACAGAAGACGTCTGTTGCAAGCAGAATTGGGCAGACAGTGTTTGCTGATGGATTGGATGGGGGCTGTGAGGGACAGGAGCCCTGGTAGTGCAGTGGTTAAAGCGCTCAGCTGCTAACTGAAAGGTTGGCATTTGGAACCCACCAGCCGATCTTCGGGAGAAAGATGTGGCAGTCTGCCTCCGTAAAGATTTACAGCCTTGGAAACCCTGTGGGGCTGTTCTACTCTGTCCTATAGGGTTGTTATGAGAATTGACTCAACGCAGTGGGTTTTTGAGGGAGAGAAGGTAGCAGGAACCATGAGTTTTAAAGCAAAGGAAGGTCACCTAGACCCAAGTACTACCCCCTAAGACTCCCTCTCCACCTCCTCCCCCAGCTGCTACCTAATCATGAAATTCCTTTGCCAAAGAGAAAGCCGCCAGTCTACAGAGATAACAACTTGTATTTGTTTCGTTCTGCTGCATATGAGGTAGCTATGAGTCGGAACCGACTCGACAGCACCTAACAACATAACAACAACTGTTTACTCAGGAGTCCCTGGGTGGTGCAAGTGGCTAAGCTCTTGGCTGCTAACTGAAAGATTGGCAGTTTGAATCCGCCCAGAGGCACCTCGGAAGAAAGGCCTGGCAGTCTATTTCCAAAAAATCAGCCATTGAAAACCCTATGGAGCCCAGTTCTACTCTGACATGCGTGGGGTCACCATGAGTCAGGTCAACTCAACAGCAACTGGCTTGTTGTGTACTCAACTGCCAGCAACTAAAATTGAAGTCTCAGGTTCTCTCCCACCAACAGCGCTTAGAAGAAACATTTATTGCCAGCATTTGCCAAGCTCAGTTCTAGACCTCTCATCTGGAGCACACGGCTGCCACCTGGTGGTGATGGGCAGGGCTTACCACGAATGGCTTGCGTCTGCCCGGACCGAAAGACCAAACCCACTGCCATCGAGTTGATTCCGACTCATAGCAACCCTAAAGGACAGAGTCGAGCTACCCCATACGGTTTCCAATCTTTACTGAAGCCGACTGCCACATCTGTCTCCTGCAGAGCAGCTGGTGGGTCCGAACTGCCAACCTTTTGGTTAGCAGCCGAGCACTTAACCACTGCACTACCCGGGCTCCTTTTTGTGCATCTGCCCCAAACCCCTTTCTGTCTAAAGCTGTGTTGAAAAGCACCTTCGTTTTCCTTGGCTCCAGTCCAGTTGACTAAGGTAGATGTTTAAACATCTCCACAGGTTGAAGCAAGTAAGCACAAACTCCCTGATGGGTAGAAGCCAGTTAATGAGGTTCTGTAAGGAAAATGCTATAAATACAGTCGTGCAAACACAAAACGAGCAACAAATAAAAGCACGTATCCCTTTTTTTAACTTCTAGCAACGTTATGCAGTGAAATAAAGCAAAAATAAAAGCAAATTTATACTTTTCTAAGAAAAAGGGGAGTATGTTACCCACTACAAGAAAATCCCAAACAAAGGAACTTAATTAGAATGCTAAATGGCTTATTTAATATGCATACTTTCCTGGGCAACCAGGGGCCGTTTAAAAAGGCAATGATTAAGCAGCAGGGGTACACGCCCTAGAGACTAAGGCAGGTGGCTGGGAACTGTATGGAAAATGACCCGGGGCTGAGTAGAGGGTGCGGGGAGGGTCTTTACTGGAATCCAGCTCTGTGTCACCAAAACTGTGATATATGTTCTTATTCTTCAACGTACATATTGCTGATTTGATAGGTTCTGGCACTTTCTTTCTCTACCCAGAGATCTTCATACAAGACATTTTTGTTGCTGTTCTTCTTCTTATATAAGACTGTTATTACTTAAAGTGGACAACGGCTTTTAATATATTATTAAATTTATGCCAAGCACCCAGAAAGAAAGTCAGAGAAAATGTTAGTTTTTTCTCATCTGTAAAGTGGACATGAAACGGTGCAAAGAAGTGACTTGCCAAACTTTACACGGCATCGAGATGTCAAAACCAGTCAGACCCCAAGTCTCCTGACTTGTAGCGCAGTTCGTTTCCTCTTATACCATTTTGACATTCTATAATAGGTGCTCAATAAATACTCACTGAGGGAATGAATGACCAAGACATTTTATAATAAACATTTAACCCAAGAAGCCATGATTACCGGGTCAATCCCAAACGGATATGGGTTTCCAGAATACACTCCCGGGACGGCCGGGTCCAGCTGTAGAAAGGCATTTGTTTCCAGTACGTGGCCACTACAGAAGGAGGAAGGAAAAAGCAGTGATCAACCAGAGGTCGGAGGAATGACTACGGCACGGCACGGTCAGTCGGGAGCTCACGGCCAGGCCAAGCCTAACTGCTGGGAGGTGCCTCTCATTAACCCCACGAATGAAGGTTCCAAATCTACTCAGCGCCTAGTATTGTCCTAGGCGCCGAGGCCACGGAAGTCACCATCCTGCCCCCAAGGAATTCAGTGTGAGTTTCCAAGAGCTCTTACTCGGATGAGTAATGAAAACCGACAGTTACAATGCATCAGAAAAGAGGTCAATGGCAGGGATGAAGGGAGCACGTAGGAAGCTGTAAGACGTAGCCCTGGGCGTCCACCAACAGATGAATGGATACACAGAATGCGGTATATCCCTATGTCTTAGCTTCCCGGTGCCGCTGTAACGTAAATACCACGAGTGGATGGAACTGCCGGCTCATATCATAATGTGATGTTCAACTTTTTGAGGAACTGCCAAACTGCTTTCCACAACGGCTGCGCCGTTTTACATTCCCACCAGCTTTGGATGAAAGGACGAGGGTCCCAATCTCTTTACATCCTCCCCCTTTCTTTTAAAGTTGGAATCAAGCTGCTCTGAACAGCCAAAGAAAATGCCCTAATGGGAAGTCTGTCTACTGGGCACCAAGAACCTGTACAGTTCAGACTTTCTTAGAGCAAGCCTTCGGTCCTGCGCCCTGCGAGAGCAAGGTGTGTGCCAAATGCCCCCTTCTCCTCCATGAAGCCCTGCCTCTATGGTTCCTGCTGGCCCACCCAGTGTACACCTGCTTTATCCCATTTTCACAATAATGCCAGGCACATGGCACAGGTTCCACAAAGCAGTTGCTGTCAAGTTGATGCCAACTCATAGCGACCCCCATGTGTGTCAGAGTAGAACTGTGCTCCACAGGGTTTCAGTGTTAGATTTTTCGAGAGTAGATCACCAGGCCTTTCTTCCAAGGAACCTCTGGGTGGATTCACCTCCAGACTTTGGATTAGCAGCCGGGTACATTAAACATTTGCACCACCCAGCGGCTCCATGTGCTCCATATTGCATTTTTAATTGCGCTCAAGCTTTTAGAAACACTTCCATGTATTACAGTTGCCGGCATAATTACTGAGGAAGTGGTACCAGTCTTGCCCTCCATAGACGGAACTTGTGGGAGCGCCTCTGAGCAGAGCCAGGTGCAGACTCCTCAGCCCCTGCAGATCCTCATGGAGGCCACATGGACAGCCCGTGAGTGACCCACTCTGTCTGTAAACTTACTTCCATGTGCCATTTCTGAACATAGGTCGGACACTCCATGAAGAGCCGAAGATGTTGAAAGACTTGGAGAAGCAGTCGTTGTAGATCAGGCCCGTGTAGATGGAGAAGATGCCCATGAGTAGGATCAGGTAGCGTCCGTGGAAGAAGGTGTTCCAAATCTGGCCTCAAAGAGACGAAAAGGGCAGTTATCAGCGGCCCTGAGTCAGGCCCCAGAAGGACGTCTCCGGCACCACCATGTAGCCGCAGCAAGACCCCTAGGGCCCTGTAGAGAGAGCCGCGTGCCAGGGCAGCCATCAAAACAATCCACATAGGACGAGCATGCCCGTTACATAAAGGAGCCAAACATGGCCTCTGTGCATTGGCTCCAGGTTGTCAATTTCTTCATAGCAGGCCGATGCCCCTTAGCCTCAAAAGCCAGCTGGCACCAAATTCAAGCTTTTACACATTCAGTTGTTTTAAAAACAGCCCAAATAAGCAGTTTTTAACAATTTAGAGCCTGCCTGCTTTGCATGCCCTGCAAAACTGTGCCCAGCATCTGCTGGTCTTAGATAAGATAAACCCTGTAGTCATAAGGACCCCAATTCCCTGCTGTCCTCTGGAGCTCGCTGACCCAGAGACTCTCCACGCTGCTGCAGAGGACTTTGCCTGGACAGGTGGGCCCCACCTCTGTTCCCTCTCCCCCCAGGAGAAACCTTGCCCTCTTCCCTTTCTGGTGGGCTCCATGGGCTGCTTGCCTTTGGAGAGTCTCCTGCTGCATGTCGCAAGAGGGACAGTCCCCTTGCATGTCGCAACTGCCAGCACATCGGCTCCAATAAATAGCTTCTTGTGCAACATTGCCATCTTTTTGGTTTCGTTTTTAATTGTACTTTAGATGAAGGTTTACAGAGCAAACTAGTTGTTCATTAAACAATTAATACACATATTGTTTTGTAACATTGGTTGCCAACCCCACGACATGTCAACACTCTCCCCTTCTCAGTTTTCCTGTCCCCTCCTCCCTTCTTGTCCTTGCCCCTGGGCTGGAGTGTCCATTTAGTCTCGTTTTGTTTTATGGGCCTGTCTAATCTTTGGCTGAAGGGTAAACCTCAGGAGTGACTTCAGTACCGAGCTATAAGGGGGCCATACTCTCGGAGTTGCAACATTGCTGTCTTGTGATCCTATCTTTTTGCTTGACCCGCCCCGAGATCCCTTACAGTCACTGCAATACACATCACGAGTTTCCTGAGCTCCTATCAGTGAACCAGAAAAGTCCAGAACTGGTACTGGCATTGTGGAAACCAAACACTTAAGCCATGTGCCACACAGATGCAAGATGTTAATAACAGGAGAAAGAGTGTGGAGGGGAGGAAAGGGGCATCTGGGAACCTTCTGTACTTTCTGCACAATTTTCCTACAAACCGAAAACTGCTCGGAAAAATTCACCGATTAAAACAGACACACGATCTCCATATTCTTTAATTAAAAAACGTCACTGAAGCAGATGCTGAGGCCTTGTGAGCTCAAGAAGAGATGTGAATGCGGGAAGCTGTTGATTCCAAGGGACAAGATTGAGCTGGCCTCAGATGACCGTTAGGTTTTATGGCAAGTGGTCAAATCTTTACTCATTTTGTCATTTTGCTTGCAAACACAGAAAGTGCCTTCCTGCCATACTGGAATCGATGTGTATCGATGGTCCCAAGATGGCTGAAATGTAACTCTGAGACTTCAAATGTTTATTAAGGGAAACAACATCAGTGGTGGAAAAATTGGATTGGTCATGATGAACCTACTATGACATCACCGAATTAGCTCAAGTGAATTCCACCCGTGATCAAAGAGGGCAGATACCCTTAAAATGCAGACCGCAGCTAAAGGCACATTTCTGTTTGTAAGATGTACGACAATGAACAGGCAGGGACTCTAACTCATTACCTTGGAAACAATGCTGACTCCTGAGTGTCTCAACCCTAACCCCGCTCTGTGAGGGAGACCTCGTGGAAAGCAGAGACATGGAAAGCTTGGTGGCGAGGACAAGACATTTAGGATTTCTCAGGGTTTTACAGGGAGGCAGGCTAGGGGCAATGCCATGAGAAAACTATTCCTGATACGCTCAATCCTCATTACTCTCGGATTCCGTATTTGCTGATTTGTCTACTCGCTAGGGTTTATTTGTAACCCCAACATTAATACTCACGGCAGTCATTTGTGGACACACTCCAAGGGCAAACACAAATTAGAAGAAAAAGAGGAAGAGAGAGGCTTAATTCTCTCTGTTGAAAAAAAAAAAAGGGGTGGGGATGGGGAAAAAAATACCCAAACTCACTGTTGATTCGCTTCCGACTCATAGCAACCCTCTAGGACAGAGTAGAACCACCCCATAGGGTTTCCAAGGCTGTAATCTTTACAGAAGCAGATCGCCAGGTCTTTTCTCCCATGGAACGGTCAGTGGGTTCACCCAATCTTTCAGTTAGCAGCCGAGCGCTTAACCACTGTGCAACCAGGGCTCCACTTGGCTATATAAAAGGATAAAAATTCATTTGTCTGTGCAATCTCTATAGCGATTGCCTAGGGTGTGTATCACTTTCTTGTTTAATGCTTACTCAGTAAGAAAACTGTTTTCTTTCTCCTCTAATTTTGGGGAGAGTTTGGGTTAGCAGGAGATCTGGGGTTAAAGCACACTTCCCCAACAACGTGCAGAGTGGTGAGAAATTGGAGTTGCCCGAAGCGCACGGCCCCACCTGAGGTCGAGCAAGGCGACACTCTGCCTTTTTGTTCAGCTTGCAGACTATAAACCAGTGTACTACTGACAAGCTGGTTGGTGCCACATTTTTCACATTTTTGTTGGTGCTTTTGCAGTTGAAAACAGCCCCCAAGCACAGTGCTGAAGTGCCGTCCAGTGTTCCGAACTGTGAGAAGCTTGTGAAGTTCCTTGTGGAGAAAATACATCTGCTCGATAAGCTTCGTTCAGGCATGAGTGACAGTACTTTTGGCCGTGAGTTCAATATGAATGAACGGACAGTGTATATTCGATACAATGTCTTTAAATAGAAACACACATAAAACAGGGCTCTGTATTGACCAGTTGAGCAAAACGTTGTGACCAGAGGCTCACAGGAGCCTAACTCTGCATTTCCTCTGAAGGACTGGCTCAGTGTTCGTCAATTCATTGTTCACAGTAGCTTTATAGAAATTACCTCAAATCACAACGACAGTCACAAAGAATGAGAATCGACTTATTTTGAGTGCAGAAAGTGGGTGACAAATTAATATGCACTATTTGATCCCAACTTTTTAAACTTATTATTTGTGTATACTGGCAGTCCCTGAATTACGAACAAGTTCCGTTCCTCAATCTGTCTTTAACTTCAATTTGTACGTAAGTTGGTACAGTTCCATACGGTTCATATCTAACGTCAGTTTGTCAAATGTTTGTCCTCGTATGTAATACACAGTGTATCTTTCTATGCATAAAAAACGTTAAAGAAACACAGATACCCTAACACATCTTTAACATAATAATACAGTAATAATAATAACAATGTATTGATGAGCATCACAAAATAGCAGCCGTTTGATGTTACAAACCATTGCGTATGTACCTTGAATTTTTAATATAATAGGCTTTATGGTGGTTGGTTCATAACTATGGGTTGTACGTAAGTCAGATGTCCTTAACGTGGGGAATGGCCTGTATGCAGAAAAAAACATTAGAAAGACACACGAAAATGTTAATTGTGATGCTCTCTCAGTGTTTAGATTGTTATCATTTCCAAATATTTACAATCAAGGTCTTGCTTTTATCATCAGGAAAAAAAATCTGTGTTAGAAAGAAAAAGAGCAATGCCTTGTCAGAACCACGCACAAAAACAAAAACCATCCAAAGGGACTAGCTTCGGCTAGGAGTTTTAGGTTGAATTTGATCCCTTTTTTACTTTGTCTTTCCCTGACTTTTTATAAAAACATGTTACTTCTGATGGTGAAAACAAAACACATCTTTTTACTACTCAATTCATAACCAAAGAGACAGGGCAAGGCGCGCAATGGGCACCCACCTCGTTGTCGGTCTTCTGGGAGAGCAGGGCCCTCTCGTTCAGGACCATCCACAGGGCAGCTAGCAGCATCACCGCCCCGTGCCCACTGTCCCCGAACATCACGGCAAACAGGAAGGGGAAGGTGATAATGGTGTAGGGAGCTGTGGAGGTGAGACCATGTCCTGAGCTCTCCGAGCGTCCACTGGGTCCCCTGACCAACATCCCTCCCTCACACTCCAGGATCCCGTGCTGGGTCCCCTGTGTTCTGTCCTACTTCACCAACCCCACCTGTAACCCTTGTTTAGCTTCCACATACTTTAGCTCATCAGTTAAAAAAAAACTAGTTGCCATCAAGTCGACTCCGACTCATGGCATCCCCGTGTGTGGCAGAGTAGAACTGTGCTCCACAGGGTTTTCAATGGCTGATTTTTCAGAGGCACATCACCAGGCCTTTCCTCCAAGGCACTTCTGGGTGGACTCAAACCTCCAACCCTTTGGTTAGCAGCTGAGCACATTAACCGTGTGCATCACCCGGGCACTCCTAGCTCACGGCAAGTAGGCATTATTACTCCCCTCTTTCCAGCTGAGCTAACTAACTGATCTTAGGTTAAGGTTAAAACGACTTGCTAAAGATCATGAAGTTTGACTGGATTTAAAGCCAGGCTTCTATCTCCAAGGGCTACCTCTACTCTTTCCACCACCCTCTTCTGTCTGTTTCTGCATGTTCACCTGCTGTGCACACCTTCAGCAGTTACTCCCGGGGACTCCCAGCCCCAGGGCCCCTCCACTAGGGGTCATGGTTTAGGCTGGGACTCACGCTGGTGAGGAGCAGCACCAGGACATCTGGCCTAGTACGAGGCCCTGCAGCTTAGCGCCACTAAGAACCAAGCCTTGTGACCCAAGTTCTCTGTGCTCCTGTCTCTCTCGTACAGTAACCACAGCATCCCTGGGCAGTACAAATGGTTAAGCACCAGGCTACTAACCAAAGATGGTGCTTCAAACCCACCCTGAGGTGCCTTGGAAGAAAGGCTTGGTGACCTGCTTCCAGAAGTTCACAGCCTTGAAGACTCTACAGAGCAGTTGTTATTCTGCACACATGGGACCGCCAGGAGTCAGAGTCAACTCGATGGCAGCTGGCTTGGTGTTTTTGGTTTCGTGAAGACAAGGAGAGGTGGCCCTCGGTGAACTGGCAAAGGAAACTCGAATGCCAGCTGCCTGGTGAGGCAGCTCACCAGGGAGAATTGAGGAAATCTGGGCAATGAACTAACGTTTCACCGATCAGGATTTACAGAAGACAACGAGCGGCATTAAGAAATCCAGTAAGGTTTTAGGAGTGCTCAGTTTTCCCCAGTTCGCCTCCTTGGTCACCTCGGGGGAGATCTCACCCGGCTTCCACTTCCCAGCTGCCCAACTGATGTGTAGGATCCTGTTACCTGGGTTTAACTCCCGGTAACTACCGATGCCATAGGCATCGACGATGTTCTGGAAGCCAGCTGTGAACTTATTGGTCCTGTTGAATGTGGGAGGAGCCGCTTTAGACTGCACTGCCGTCAGGATGGGGGCCATGGCGGAGCCACTTTGTTCCTGCAAAGAGAGCAAGGGACAAAATGGACTCTGAGAGCCTTGGGCTCCTGCCCCACAACTGAGGGAGGGAACGTGGGACAACTATGGCCCTCTCTGGGACTCAGGATCTGTAAGTGAGTGCCTTCTGTATCAGTTACCCCGTGCTGCCGTAACACAAATACCACAAGTGTGTGGTTTTAACAAACAGAAATTTATTTTCTCACAGTTAAGGAGGCTAGAAATCCAAATTCAGGGCACCGGCTCTCAGGGAAGGCTCTCTCTCTCTGTAGGCTCTGGGGGGAGATTCTTGTCTTTTTCAGCTTCTGTAGCGCTACCTTCCTCGGTTCCTTGGTGACCCTCACGTGACATCCATCTCTCTCCCCACCACCCCACCCCACCCCTCCTTTTTGTGCTTCTTCTGTGTCTAATCCGCTCTTTTTATAATTCATAAGTGATTAGGTTTAGGGCTCACCCTACACCGATGTGGCCTCATTAATGTAGTAAAGAAAACCCTATTTCCAAACAATATTACATCCGTAAGGAGCCCTGGTGGTACAGTGGTTAAAGCGATCAGCTGCCAACAGAAAGGTCGTCGGTTCAAAACCACCAGCCGCTCAGCAAGAGAAAGATGTGGCAGTCTGCTTGCATGGAGATTTCAGCCTTGGAAACCCTATGGGGTCACTGTGTGCTGGAGTCAGCTTGATGGCAGTGGGTTTTATTTACATCCACAGGTACAGGTGTTAGGATTCCAGTGTACGTTTGGAAGGACACAATTCAATCCATAGCACCTTCCTAGTTCCTACCTAACTTACCTTACAGAAGGCTGTAAGGGAGTGGAGTTCCTCCTTGTCTCCAGCAATTTCCATTGCCCCTCTCCCATGAGTGTGTTTTGACACCCCAGTCCCCAACTCTCGGCTCTTCACCTTCTCTGTATGTCCTCCGTCAAGAGCTTGGCTGCGCTCCACTTTCTTAGTTCACCCCCTCTTATGTATGGCCAGAACCCCTTGCCATTGAGTAGGTTCTGACTGATAGTGACCCCACAGGATGGAGGAGAACTGCCCCATAGGATTTGCAAGGCTGTAATCTTTACGAACGCAGATGGCCACATCTTTTGCCCATGGAACAGCTGGTGGGTTCCAACTGCCAACTCTTCAGTTAGCAGCCAAGTGCTTAACCCCTGTGCCACTATGGCTCCTTATGTATGGCCCAACTCTCCCCCAAACTTCCATTCTACTGTCTACTTATGGATTGAGTTGTGTCCCCCAAAATATGCATTGTAAATCCTAACCATTCCCAGATGGGATTATAACCACAGGCATAGAGGTTAGGATTTACAACCCATATTTTGATCTTTGTTAATGAGACAAGCTTAGTGTAGGATGTGTCTAGAGATATAAAAGGAGCAGACTAAGGAAGCAGAGATGAGGAGATAGATGTCACATGAAGATCGCCCAGGAGCTGAATCTCAAAAGAGACAAGGATCTTCCTCCAGAGCCTACAGAGAGAAAGCCTTCCCCTGGAGCTGTTGCCCTGAATTTGGACTTCTAGCCTGCTAGACTGTGAGGGAATAAATTTCTGTTTGTTACAGCCATCCACTTGTGGTATTTCTGTTGCAGCAGCACTAGATGTCTAAGACACCTCCTCACCTCCCTCCTCCCTGCAGTCTTCTCCACTCTGCAGTGGGAGGTTTCTAAAACGCAAAGGAGATCAAGCCCTCCAGGGTATGGGGATACAATCAGGTCCCTCACGCCTGTTAAAGTCCTTCCCGAGCTTCTTCCAGCACATGTGTGCTCCCTCCAGCCACCCCCACCACCGTCAGGTGCTGGCTTTGGGCAGGCCTGCTCCTGCTCATTGACCACTCTCCCACAGCTCAGCTCAGGGGTCACCTCCTCCAGGAAGCCCCCTGCCCTTCCAAGTCGGGGTCAAGTGCTCCTTCTAAGTGCCCTATCTGGGCAGTGGGTAGATGGCGATGTGGGGGCCTGATAGTGTGTGGGGGTGATGAGGAACATTGGATTTAAATCCTGACTCCTAGGCATGGGTCTGAGATCATGTTCTGCTCCCTGCGCTCCAGGGTCCTCATCTGTACCAAAGGGATAAAGATGGTGCCGGCCTCCTAGTCATGCCACTTCCAGGCCTTTACCTTCTGACCCCCATCCCTCACCCCCACCCCCGATCTTCCCATGGCATTCAGGGGAGTCTGCTCAATGCCATCTGCTCAGAGGGGCCTCCTCCGGCAACAGTCCCCACTCCCCACCTGCCTCCACCCATTGCTGCCCAATGTCACATTCGTCATGGACACGCTTACTGTTCACTCCCTTTCCAGAAAGCCAATGGGGCAGGGCCTCGGCCTGCCTGCAGGCAACCCCAATTGGTTCAGGGGGCACAGTGAACATGGTCTATGAGATGCATGGAGAAAGCTGGAAGAGTCAAACAGGGTCAGGGACTGCAGTGCCTAGCCCAGCGCCCGGCTGGGAGCGAGCAGCATATGCATCTGACCATTATCAGTAGTGGTCTTCCCAGTGGTGCCCTCACTGTGGGTCTGCAGCCACACCAGCAGAGGGCTGGCACACCCACGCTCAGTGCCCTTGCTCAAAACAAGAGAAGTGTTGGAGTGTGGCAATGGTGTGTCTAGCTGAGCCCTTCGATCCTGCAAAACAGTGAAGGTTGAGAAGTCTCCCACCCTTCTGTGTTCCAGAAAATGGCTCACCACAAAGAACCTCCTTTCCCAAAGGACTTAGATAAGGCTCACGATATCTGTTGTTTACCACAGCAAGGCCAGACACGGACCCTTTCAAATTCCCATTCTTGGCCTCCTAAATGATTAGCTGAACTGCTTGTTCCCACTGATTAATCATTACAAAATGCTTGTCAACCAGCCTTTGGAGAAGCTTCTCTCCTTCACCCACGTCCCTGAACTGTGGCCCACCCTCAGCCTGCGCCAGCACACTGCCCCTCCTTAAGGATAAGAGAGTTGGCTTTAGTGTAGAACATTCCGTTTTATTATCTGATCACATCAGTCTCTCATCCCACTCCCGACACCTGATTCTTTCCAGCCTTGTTTATTCTCATCTCCATAACAGAAAAATCCTTCTTCCCTAACTCTTTGATATGGATTGAATTGTGTCCTCCCAAAATGTGTGCCAGCTTGGGCAGGCTACGATTCCTAGTATTGTGCAATTGTCTGCAATTTTGTCATCTGAGTGAATTTCCTATGTGTTGTAAACCCTACCTCTATGACGTTAATGAGGCAGGATTAGAGGCAGTTTATGTTGATGAGACAGGACACAATCTACAGGATTAGCTTGTGTCTTGAGTTAATCTCTTTCGAGACATAAAGGAGAGAAGCAAGAGAAAGCAGTGCCAGGAGTAGAGTGTGTCCTTTGGACCAGGGGTCCCTGAGTGGAGAAACTTCTAGACCAGGGGAAGATTGATGACAAAGACCTTCCTTCAGAGCCAACAGAGAGAGAAAGTCCTCCCCTGGAGCTGATGCCCTGAGTTCAGACTTCTAGCCTCCTAGACTGAGAGAATAAATTTCTGTTTGTTAAAGCCATCCACCTGTGGTATTTCTGTTATAGCAGCACTAGATAGCTAAGAAACTCTTGCCGATTTCTGAGATGGAAGTATTCTCCCTGTTGCAGTAGTCTTTCTTGCTGAATTAAGCCTCTCTCCTTCTAAGTCTGGATTTGTTCTTGTTTGATAGTTATCAAACACCGAGAAACAAAGGAGTTTCTGTTACGTACGTGTTATGGATTGAATTGTGTCCCTCCCAAAAGAAATGTGGAAGTTTTAAGCCCTGTACCTGTAAATATGGAGCCCTGGTGGTGCAGTGGTTAACAGCTTGGCTGCTAACCGAAAGGTCAGCAGCTCAAATCCACCAGCCTCTCCTTGGAAATCCTACTCTGTCCTACTCTGCCCTATAGGGTCACTGAGAGTCAGAATCAACTTGATGGCAACAGGGTTTTTTGTTGTTTGTTTGTTTACCTGTAAATATGACCCTGATTGGAAATTGGGGTTTCCTTTCATTGTGTTAATGAGGTCAGACCAGAGTAGGGTAGGTCCCAAACTCAGTCCCTTCGGAGTGGTCTCTTATAGAAAGAGCAGAATAGACACAGAGACACCCACACAGGGGAAGACAGACACCACGTGAGGATCTGTCTACAAGAGCAAAGGAACACCAAGGATCGCCAGCAGACACCAGAAACTAGGAGAAAGGTCCACAGAATCAACACGGCTGAGGCCCTGATTTGGATCTTCAGCCTCCAGAACTGTGAGAAGGTAAATTCCTGTTGTTTAAAGCTAACCACTTGTGGTATTTTGTTATAGCTGCAGTAGGTAACTAAGACGCTGCCCTAAACCAGTTACCATCAAGTTGACTCCGATTCATGGCAACCCCATGCGTGTCAGAACACAACTGTGCTCTGTGGGGTTTTCAATGGCTGGTTTTTCAGAAGTAGATCACCAGGCCTTTCTTCTGAAGCACCTCGGGGTGAACTCCAACCACCAACCTTCTGGTTAGCAGCCAGGCGTTAACCATTTGCACCAACTAGGGACTCCACAGTGCCCCAGCACGGGGTTAAAAACTGAAGCTACAAAGACGAATCTACCACCAAGTCACTTGCAAAGTTCCCAACTCCCGAGTGTCTGTAGGGGGATGATGAGGTGGGCATCCCCCACCACTCACCGTGCCCTGCTCTAAGGCCCTCTGGATGCGTGCGGTGTCCGCCACCGGGAACCAGACCTCGGCGATGACGCACTGCTGGGTGACGTCGATGTTGCACAGGTTCAGGGTATGGTAAATGGCCTTCATCTTCTGCACCTGGATTGCCCACGAGTGCCAGTTGGCAGCCACCTCCTGTAGCAGGCGCTGACGGTGGGACTCCGTTTGGGTGATCACCTAGCGAGGCCAAAGAGAAACAACAGACAGAGAAACGGGGTGTTTGCGGCCATGTTTGCAACAGTGTGGCAAAAATGGAGGCATGGCAGCCTCAGTGGTGCCCCTGCCCTGGGCTCCCTCCTCTGGGGCAGCTCTTGCCTGGCAGTTAAGTCTCAGGAGCAATTCATCTCCCTACTAGAGGTTAAACCCTCAGGCAAAGATCGGATCTTCCTCATAACCAGTAACCAGTTGCTGTGGAGTCAACTCAGACTTATGGTGAACCCATGAGTGTCAGAGCAGAACTGCACTCCACAGGGTTTTCAATGCTGATTTTTCAGAAGTAGATCGCCAGGCCTTTCTTCCAAGGTGTCTCTGGGTGGACTCAAACCTCCAACTTCTCGGTTAGCAGCCAATCTCATTAAACATTGGCACCACCCAAGGACTCCAAATTCCTCATTATCTCACCAAAACGCTTCACATACACAACCCCTCCAACACACTGTAAATGAATTAATGAAGGAAGCAACAAAAGGACGACTCGGCCTCCAGAGAATTTGTTTAATGGAATTTGATATTATGTTATGGGGACCCAACAATTAGAGTAAGCTTATCCAGTAACCTTGACACAGGGCTACTCAAGTCATAGTCAACATAAGCGTAAGTTTGGCGTAATTTCTTTTCCATTCTCCTCATGAAGTTTTTAAAAAACCAAGCCTGGGGTATTTAGGGAAAAGAACTTCAAGGGTAATTGCTTCAGGGAAATAAAGTCTCCTTGACAAGTGACTAGGAACAGAGAGGATTAAATAAGGAATTAAACATATATTTCCTGGGAAGGCAAAGATGACTGTCAGCCTGAGGGTTTTTAAACACACACATTCACATCTAATTTCCAAACAAGCTCACTGAGGATCTAGAACTTTGCTGACCTGCGTGGTAGCCACATGTTAAATTTAAATTAAATAAAATTTAAAATTCAGTTCCTCAGTCGCACTAGCCACATTTCAAGCGCTCCACAGTCACGCGCAGCGCATGGCTACCATATTGGATGGAGCAGATTACATAACATGGCTGTCACCACAGAAAGTTCTATAAAATAGCACTGAATATACAATTTGAAGTGGCCCAGCTTGCTTTTAGCAATGACTTTCAAAGCTACTGTGTATTGAAGAAAGTGTTCTAATCATAAGTGTGTTACCTGCCACCCTGAATGACTATTCCAAGAAGACTTTACAAGAAGACATGAATTTGGGGTGTGCTCCATCACATAGTGGAATCAGACTCATTATTTTTACAAAAGTAGTTGCTCAGCTCCAATAACTGGGCAATTTAGTGGAAAAGGAATCGGTCAAACTGGTTGTGCAAATTAATTGGCGAGTTGGTTGTCTCAGAGATGTGGCTGAGGCCCAGGCTAGCAGTAAGGGGCTCCTTTGACCAGATGGGAGCCCTGGTGGCCCGGTGGTTAAGATCTCAGCTGCTAACCAAAAGGTCAGCAGTTCGAATCCACAAGCTGCTCCTTGGAAACCCTATGGAGCAGTTCTACTCTGTCCTATAGGGTCGCTATGAGTTGGAATCGACTTAAGGGCAATGGGTTTGGTTTTGGTTTTGACCAGATGAGAGTGACCGCCTGGAGGCTGACTAAGGCTGTGGTAAACCTCAGCCCAGGCAAAGCATGACTGAAGTGAGGAAACATCATGCTGACCTCCGGCTCACCAAACACTGCTTTCTAATTAGGAAACCTCTGGGGCAGCAGCTGCAACAGATGGCAGCCTTCCAGCCACTTTCCAGCATGGGCCCAGGGGACTTGCTTGGAAAGGGCAGAGGGATTCCCCCCTCTGCAGCCCCCACCCCGATCATGCCCCCAGCCCCAGCAGGACAGGACGTCGCACTCACAATGTTTAAGTCTTCCAGCCTCACGCTGACCTCAGCCAACATATCTCTGCGCTCCGCCACAGGCTCTGGGCAGGGGTATATGGTGGCTCGAAACCTGTGTTTGATATATTCCAAAAGCCGCATGTGGGTTATCGCTGAAAAGCGTCCTGAACCCCTTTTCTGCTAAGCCATCAGGTGCTGACTTCGGTTGGATGGCGGCCTTCTAGAACAACCACCTCCTTGTCAATGAGCAAGTGAGCCCCGGTCATAAGAATTCCTAATGATTCACTCAAATGTGACTTAAATCTATTATATAAATGAGCTTCATTCAAACCATAAAACCTGTGAGCTATTATATAAATAAGACTGCAGGCTTGCCCTGTCTCTTTTTCCACCCAGAATTTATTCACGATTAATGTCTTTCTCTACTGACCCATTTCTGCCTACAGGGTGCTGGATACGAGGTGATTCTGTAACATCAGAAAGAACTCAGCCACATATTTGCCTATTCTTTAGCCACTGATGCATCAGGAGCTCTGGTGGCGCAGCGGTTAAGCTTTGGCTGCTAGCCAAAAGGTCGGTGGTTCAAACCCACCAGCCACTCCATGGGACAAAGATGTGGCAGTCAGCTTCTGCAAAGATGACAGCCTTGGAAACCCTATGGGGCAGTTCTACAGTGTCCTATAGGGTGGCTATGCGTCAGAATCAACTCAGCGGCAATGGGTTTGGTTTTTTTGTTTTGTTTCGGTTTAGCCCCTGATAAGGGGTGTTGTTGTTGTTAGTTCTGACCCATGGTGGCTCCAGGTGTGCCAGAGTAGAACTGCTCCATAGGGTTTTCAAGGTTGTGACTTTCAGAAGCAGACTGCCCGCCTTTTCTTTCGAGGACCCTCTGGTGGGATCGAACCACCAACCTTTCGGTTAGTAGTCAAGCACTTAACCGTTTGTGCCAACCCCCCTGGGTGGGTTCCGATGACTCCAAGGGGCATGAGAGGGAATAAACAGAAAGGGTTAAAATGCCATAGGGACGCTCTGAGTCGGAATCCACTCAACAGCAGTGGGTTTAATTTGTTTTTGTTTTTTTTTTTTTAGTTTCTAGTCAGGCGTTTATTCAAGTTCTTCCTCGGGTACTAAAAGTCGGTTCCACTTTCAGCACTACTGCGTCAATTGTGGGGAAGTGATTCTAAAATCCCAACTCCTCAAAGAGGCGCAATCAGGTGTGTTTGACACCCAGTGCCGACCCAAATCCCTGCCACAGGACTGCGGACAGCCCATCTCACCCGTCACAGATCTTCCTGATTTTCTGCCTCAGCTGCTCTCCTTGATAAAATATGATGAATATGTTCTTTTTAATTTCTTCTTTCTGGAAAATCAGAACAAGTTAAAAACAATAATTCTCTGTCGAGTTAGAATACAATAGGGAGAAATGTAGAGTCCTGTTTTTAAGTTCCATACACAAAACGTAACATAAAATTGGAACAATTCAGCTTCCCCCCGGTTCACGCTGGCTCATAGTTCATTACAGTTGATGACAAGCCCAAGGATGCAGGCTGTACAGGGGCTCACGGAGGCCACGACAAAACTAATCCACACCAGTTGCCATTGCTTCAGTCCTGACTCATGGCAACCCCGTGTGGGTCAGAGTAGAACTGTGCTCCACAGGGTTTTCAAGGCTGTGACCTTTCAGCATTATATCTTCAGGACTTTCTTCTGAGGTACCTCTGGGTAGACTCAAACTATCAACCTTAAGATTAGCAGCTGAGCACCTTAACACTCTGCACCACCCAGGGACCCCTGAGAAGAGCCCCTTAAATCCTTGTCATTCCAGGTGGGTGATCTGTTGACTGTAATACCAGCATCACCTGGGAGTTTGTTAGAAACATAGACCCTCAGGGCCCACCCCAGAACCCCTGAGTCAGAATCAGCATTTAACCAGATCCCCAGGTGGCTCGTGAGCATTGAAGCTAGAGACGCGCTGGCCTAAACTGGTCTCTTGTTCTTCCTGATGACAACGTGCTGTCCCCTAGTGGTAAATCTGAGTTTCTTGGGGGAAAGAACCAATTATAAGGTGGTAGCAAGGTGTAGTGGTAAAGAAATTGGGCTGCTAACCAGAAGGTTGGCAGTTCGAATCCACCAGCCACCTCTTGGAAACCCTATGGGGGGCAGTTCTACTCTGTCCTATAGGGTCGCTATTAGTCGGAATCAACTCAACAGCAACAGATTTTATTTTATCTTTGGAGCAAGAGTCAGAGGAATCCCGGTGGTGCAGTGGTTAAGAGCTCAGCTGCTAAACGAAAGGTCAGCAGTTTGAACCCACCAGCCGCTTTCTCCTTGGGAGAAAGGAAGATTATAGCCTAGGAAACCCTATGGGGCAGTTCTGCTCATCACACTTGGACGATATGAGTGGAAATCGACTTGACACCACCTAACCACAACAAGCAAGGGTCAGGCCTGGAGTCGACTTTCAAATGTGAAAGAGACACTGAGAGAGAGAGAAGGGGGGCAGGAGGGAGGGGCAAAAGGAAAAGGAACAGATATCAGCGTCACAAAACAGGAGCCCGCGTTCGCGTCCCAGAGGAGAACAGAGCCCCTTTGCTGAGGTCTCTGGGAGACTGAAGGCTTTCCGCAGCCGGAGCTACCCACGGTGACTGGCTCCTCCAGGAGTACGTCCATCTCACTGAACTTCAGGTAGATGTTTCCGCGGCAAACGCGCCACAGCAGCCTCTCGAAGGCAGCCATCCTCCCCCTGTCTATCACGCCGGTGGTGAACCTGGGGCGCACAGGAGATAGGGCTGAGGCACTGGGGTGGGGTGTGGAGAAGGCCGTGTGGGACGGAGTGCATGCAGCCCTAAAACCCAGGGGCGCTTCGCTCTGCGAGACCACTCTACCAAGTGGATTCCTGAGGGGCCCCCACAGGCCACCGCACACCCCAGCCCAACTTGCCTCGGTCCCCCCTTTGACCTTATATTTCCTTTGAATTTCCTTGATCATGTAATCACCCCAATACAACGCACACACTTATTTGCAATTAAAAATATGACAGACCATTATAGCATTGTAGCAAAAGGAAGCAAATGTTTAAGATCTTCAACAATGGTCTCCCTGCATTTGCACAAATAATTCACTAAGAGTGGAACACACACACTGACTTCGGTCCATCTCTACGTTTCCCACCATCCGGTTCCCTGGATGAGTTCTGACCCAAACTTCTCACAGTAACTTTAAAATGGGTGCTCTCATTGGTCTGTAACTGTAAATGTATGTTCATCCTGTATTACCTTCGGAACAAATTTTTTTTATTCATATATTTTTTTCTTTCCACTAATTCAATGCCCCTTGTGTGGCACATTTAATATCTATTCAATGAAAAATTAGAATTCCCAAACTCTCACCTTTCAGAAACACTTCAAAATTTACCAGTGTTACTTGGGTGTTGAATGGAAGCTCATTATTTTGCATCAACACTATTTTCATGGGACTAACCATGCCATATTCCTGCTATTTGTTGATGACTTGATTATACCACTATCCCATTTCTAATTACATTTAAAAATTCAAACTCCAAAGACAGTTTATTTTCAAGGTAGTATTTTAAAGATAAGGAAAAAAACAAATCCCATAAGCCTTGTTCCAAAGCTAGGGAAGAGTTGAGAAAGCCCATCTAAACAATTCTCCCACTTCTTTCCCATGTAGGGGCAATACAAACACCATACTCCTCAGGCTCAAGAATATCCAGTATCCTCATTAACAAGAAGGTAACACTACCTTCAGCCCCACTGGAACCTATCAGGTTACACTTGGGTTTATTACTGTGTGTTATTGTTAGCTCTGGGTGAGTCAGCCTCTGACTCATGGCAACCCCATGCACCACAGGATCTGGCCATCGTGCTCCATAAAGTTCTTGTTGGCTGATTTTTAGTAACAGATTGCCATGCCTTTCTTCCTAGTGCCTTTTAGTCTCAAAGTTCCACTGAAACCTGTTCAGCATATAGCAACACACAAGCCTCCACTGACAGATGGTGGCTATACGTGAGGTGCATTGGCTGGGAATCTAACCTAGGTCTCCTCCATGGAAAGCGAGAATTCTACCCCTGAACTTCCACTGCCCCTTATTACTGTGTGGTGGCCTTATATTCATATGACATAGACCTGGTTCTAACGGCTATTTGTTCTTCCAATTCATTCACTCAATACTCAGGAAGTCTACCAGGCGCCAGCCATGGAGCTAAGGACCAGGGACCTCGACATGCTACTATAAGAGCACAAAGTTAGATTGTTATGGGTTGAATTACTCCAAAAAGTTATGCTGAAACCCTAACCCCTGTGAGTGTGACTGTTTGGAAATAGAGCGTTTCCTTTTGTTATGTTAATGAGGTCATACCAGAGTGGGGTGGGTGCTAACTAAACTTAGTCCCTTCTAAGTGATGCCTTCTGGAAAGAGAAGAGACCCAGAGGCACACACACAGGGGAAGGACAGACGCCATGGGAGGCAGATGGAGCTACAAGCCCAGGAACATCAGCGGTTGCCAGCAGCTACCAGAAGCTGAAAGAGACAAAGAACCTCCCCCTAGCACCACACACTGAATTCAGACTCATACTCTCCAGAACTGTGAGAAAAGGAATTTCTGTTTTTTAAAGCCGCTCATTGTGGCATTTTTGTTATAGCAGCATGAGGTAACTAAGACATGTACTAACCCCAGCTTCCCAGGCATCACTGCGGACGAAGTTCGCAACTCCAAGAGACCCGAGGTGTCTTCCGTAAAAAAATCGTCAGCTAGGTTGGTTTCAGCCTGGAAGTCAAAGCACCACTACTTTAATTCTCACATGGAAACACCCACACCTCAAGATGTTGCCTGTTTTGAATAAGCTTTAACCTTCCACAAGTAGTTAAGAAGATGTAAAAAGTAGGGTGCTCCTTGACCAAGCAGAAAGCTTCACTGTCTCTTCTTCCAAAAGTCTGCCCAAACTGACCGCTCTGCACCGTTCCGACCTCCTTCTCTGTCTGAGCTGTTTCAAGCACACATTTGTAATGAGCATTCGATTCCACCAGCACCTCAGCTATTCCCCCCTCAAAACTCTCCCCCTCAGCAGTGGCCTAGCCATGTGACAGAAACAGAACAGTTGATTCATATTCCAAATTACAAACCAGCCAGTTTTCCAAAGGGACGTTTGAGGCACTAGGCACCCTTAATTAAACAGCCCCCAAATAATGACCTCAAAGAAGTCCTGGGTTTTCTTCAGGAGATGTTTGAATTCCGTCAGCTGTAGGAAGTTTTTCTTCAGGTCTTGCTGGTTGTGGTTGGCTTCCTGTAACTCCCCTTCTAGTTTTTCCAGAAGAGTCTACGCAGGAGAGAGAAAAAGGTAAGCCAGGCAGAAAGTGCAATGATATTCTGACCCTACGTTAGCCCCAACAAATAACTAAAAATCAAATTATTCAGTTCATCATACCGTAGCTTAAAGTTGAGTAGCCTGTTCAGTGGACATGATGGTAGAGCTACAAGCTAGAATCATTACACACTCTTTCTAGGGCCCCATCACCAAATGGGGAGGATTAGAGAACGCGGGGGGTGGGATGGGGTGGGGGTGGAAGGCAGCTTTGTGGAGAAGTGGAAGCGTTTCAGCAAACCACATATCATACGTCTCTCCCCTACACAGGAAAGATACAGAGTGAATTTACATGTTGAGAACACCTTCTGCCCAAACACATTGCAACGATGGATAAAATATAAAAAGAGAAACCCAGAATCACCCCCAAACCATTACCAATTCTGAGCTGGAGTCTGGAGAACAAGGTGCAGACTAGTGAAAAAGGGTAACACAGAGAGCAAGAAGACCAAAATGAAAACAGAAGTCTTCCTACCAGAAGGAGCCTACAAACAAGACTGAGAAGAAACCCATTGCTGTCAAGTTGATTCGGACTCATAGCGACCCTATAGAACAGAGCAGAGCTGCCCCATGGGGTTTCCAAGGAGCGGCTGGTGGATTCAAACTGCCGACCTTTTAGTTAGTAGCCAAGCTCTTAACCACCGCGCCACCAGGGCTCCACAAACAAGACTAGGCCCATGAAATCTCATGGTAAGAAAAATCGCCAGTAGACAGATGGTTGTACAAGATGATGGATGTAACTGATGTTGCTACTTTGTACACATAAGAAGTATTGAATCTGCAAATATTTTCTTATATATATATATTTTACCATCTTTTAAAAATAATTGAAGAAAGGAAAACCAGCAGCAGCATCACCAATCAGAACGCAAAGTCATATCCAGTGAAATTATTTTTACAGAATAGTCGGAAAAAGATTTTAGTTTTTTAGAAAATTTGAAGAGATACATGAAGGCTTTACTTGTACTAAAAAGAAAAACAGATTATGAAACAAACATGTACTAAAATGAAAGAACATGTAAATATAAAAAGAGACTATTTAGAAATCTTAGAAATGTAAAATATAGTTATTGAAATGAAAATGAGATCAACTCTATACTGGACACAATTTGTGAATGCAATACCGAAATGTAAAGGAAAAGAAATTTTTTTAGCTTTTTTTAAATTGTTGTAGTTTAAGTGAAAGTTTACAATTCAAGTTAGTCTCTCATACAAAAATTTATACATACATTGTTATGTGACCCTAATTGCTCTCCCTATAC